AAGTAGCAGACATCTGAGGTAGACATCTTGTTGAGACTCTATCCCGTCATTAATTAAAGTCAAAATGAAGTCTTTCGCCTCGGGCCTCACCAGACTTGTAAGACTTAAGTTGAATGTGACATTATGAGAGCTAATGTCTGAATATGATGTGCTTTTATTAGCATTTGCAGACGACATCTCTATCGAAAGAATTAACGTCAATACTGAACTCTTTGTCAAATTAATTTAAATGTAAAGCCAAAGCTCTCTAGTGACCAGAGTTAAAATAAACGAAGTATCTATAGACGCGTTGAACAAAGAAAACGGGAAGTAATGTTATATAACAAAATTAAATAAAATGCGATAGGCTTTACGTTTAACGTGCGACTATATGGTAATTTTAGAATTAACTGCATTGTGCTTATAATTATCTGCTTTGGGTTTTAAATGGGTAATGTGTTTTAAAATATGTTTTACAATAGCTTTGGTGTATATGTTTGAGTTACTGATTACAGTTACAGTGTGGTCTCATTGTGACATAATAGTGGCTTGTGTTAATAGACACATAATGGTTCTGCCGATAGTACGGTATGACGTCATTATAGATGAACGTAATTATAGTTTTTGGAATTGTAATGACTTAATTTATCAATCATCTTGTAATTATGCTGTAATGATTTCATTTAGCACACGTAACGAAGGAGTTCACAAGGAACTAGCTCATTATTTCTGATCTCAGTCGATAAGTCTACTTACACTTTAACCTGAGAGGAGAAAGTTAGTAAAATAGAGTAAACTTTCAGAGGTGTCGCATCTGGCAGAGAAAATCAGTGGTACCGTTGCAAAGGTGAGCGATTGGATGTTTGAAAATAAACTCAAGATGAACGAAGATAAGACAGAAATAATTAAGATAGGCACTCGGAACAACGTCTCAAAAGTTGAAAACACAGATTCTCTTTTTATCCCGAACTGACATGTTCCTTATGTCCATGTAGTGCGGAATCTTGGAGTTTTCTTCGACTCAACACTATCTTTCGACCCACACATAAGTCAGCTCTGCAAGGGTCTTTATCTGCAGCTGCGTAGATTAGGCCAGATCCGACCATATTTAACAACGGAGTCAAACAAAAACGCTAGCTGTGGCATTCATACTCGCCCGCCTTGACTACTGCAACGCCGTGCTAGCAGGTATATCTGATGACAAAATAGCCAAGCTGCAACGTATACAGAACAATGCCGCACGAATAGTACTTAGAAAAACAAGACAAGATTCTGCTACTACGCTCTTGCTCACGCTCCATTGGCCCGTGAAAGCTAGAATCGATAACAAGGTCGCCACACTTTGTCATCAGTGTATATATAACAATGAGATGCCCTTGTACCTTAGCGAACTGATTACTCCTTATGTCCCCCAGAGAGCCCTGCGCTCAATGGACTCAACGTTTCTCCCTCAAAAGGTACGGTCTGCGGGCTTTTTCAGTGCACGGACCAAAGGTTTGGAACTCACTCCCCATTGATCTCAGACAGACAGAGTTTCGTTAAAGGGAAACAAAATTCATCTTAGTCCCTTTATCAGTTTCCACTGAGGAATTTTCTGGTGATGTGGCAGGTCTGCAGCAGAACCGCCCTCTGACAGGCAACGAGAATGTTCCTATGAATCTTAAGGGTCTTGAAGGTGTCTGTGAGGTCAGTTGTTATTATCCCCTCATTTGATATAACAATGGGGTATATTGTTGATTTAGTAACTTCCATTGACGCTTAATCTCCAAGCCCAAGTTCCCATATTTTCTTTGTTTTTCCTACTCAGGTTTTCTTAACTTATGAGTTAATGGTACGGCGATGTCAATAATGGTAGCGGCTTTTTTCTTTTTTTATCGATGAGCAGCTAATCAGGGCCATTAAAATCGACCGTTTTGTCGGTCAGAATAGGCCTATCCCAGTACAATAGATGATCAGTAGACTCGAGAACCTCTTGTGGTGAGTATTTGTAATAAGAAGGAGTATCCTTACCGATCAAATTATGTGTCAAAGCCAAATGCTGGTGTATTAACTTTGCTACTAGCGTTTACTGAGTGCCTAAAGGCAGCTCGAAAACCTTCTCCCAGATACCCCCCCTAACCCCCACTGGTCCACAAATGACATTGGACCAAAGCGCTCTGGGCATCCTATAAGCATGAAAGTAGCGCTATATGAAAGCTATATGAAGTAATATTTGTAATCTATAAGTAAAACCAAAAAGTTTCCAAAACATTTAATAATATTTAAACACTCAACGAAGAATAAAAGTGAAGAATTGAGAGATGTTTATCTACAAGATATTTTTTTTTACAAGATATTAGATGTTCAGAATTAACATAAATGTCTTATGTTGTCTATGAATTCATTTAGCTGCTCTGGCCTGCATGGTTCAGTGTCTCCGCCATTGCCTTCCACTTACATACACCGCTCACTGTTGCCGCCTATGTCTTAACGTTCCAACAGGGTAATCTATCTTGCCACTAACACTGGTCAATTACGTGTCTCATGAACGATAGTATAGGCCTACATACACTCAAAGGAATGTCTTCCACTAACAGGAACGACCCTTTCCACAGTTTCCTCACAAGACCTCTTCCTGACTAGGTGGGCAATATATTTATTTCAAACTTATTAAGGCTGCTATTGTACTGTTAGTAGTTTTCAGACTACATACATGCATAAATAAGATACAGTACGTAATCCTACGCCAGCATACATTCAGTCTCCGATGCATTATTAAACTTTATCTACATCTATTATACACATATAGTATGACATGCCATTTGTGGGCCGGGTTAAATGGAAAATGCCCGGGCCTATTTTGATACGCACTGCGCCCCTGCTCATGACCTACTTCTTATCACGCCAATTTCTGTAGGGGTCAAATTGCATTTTTTAATTATTACAGACAGTCTGTCTACAACATTCTGCTCTGTAAGGCTTAGATTATGATATATTTAGTTGAATTTCTGGAAGAGTTTTTGCCTTTAACCTGGGAGAGGTTTATCATCACAGTTATTTATACGGAAGAACGATTTTGATAATGTCTATATTCATTTCTCTCGTCCATTTGATCCTTTTGGCTCCTCTTGTTCTACCACCAACAGCACCTCTCAATTGTGTGGGGTGCGAGTCAGGGAGTAGACCGACCTCTTGTGTTTGGTCATGAGGTTGTGAGCTACCTTCAGTAAACACTTCGACTCATTGGTGAATAATAATTTATTTAGACTCTACCGCCTGTGCACTTTATTCCTTATTCATTATTGTCCTGGAGGAAGCAATGGGCACGTCCTAATTCTCCTCAAAAGTAAATACATCAAACAGAAATGAACGTGCGTTAATTTGTTTACTTTGATCTACTATCTTCGTGGACAAACTTTTAAGATCTAGATCTATTATTATTATTATTATTATGATTATTGTTATTATTATTAAATAACTACTTCTTTATTTGATGAGCATGTTAGTCTTATTAATGTAGGCTGTATAAGAAATCAGGGCGCAAACGATCATTTCATTTTAGAGCACTGCCTCGTTTTCGAAATGAATATATTGTGCAAACAATCACATAGGTGCCGAGAGTTTAAAAGACTTCAAGTCTTACGTCGTAGGACGTAATCATCTTCTTTTTTGAAGTAACGTCTGAATTATATAAGATAAGATAAGATAACCTTTTTTTTTTTTTAGCACCACTGTGCAACTCTCTCTGACGTCTCTGACACAAGAAAAAAGAAAAGAAAATGTCCAAAGACTATTGAAACAGAAAATCTTTTAGGATAGTAAAATAAATTAAAATTAAATGAATCAAATATTTGTAATGGACTTTCAAAAGATGATTTTAAAAACTGCCATAAATGGCGACAGCTGTACATAGACTTCCTCTGTGCACTAGCCACTGACAAAATAGATAGATGGTGCATCATGATAGGATTTTTCTTTTTTTTGTAAAGCTTTTTCCACAATTCGTTAGAGCCCTTTTCTAAATTCGTGTCTACCCACCCATGACGAGTTTGCAATCTAATTAGAGGAATTTAAAAAAAAACAGCTTCTTTAATGACAGGCAACGAAAATCTTCTAGGGAATTTTAGGGCCTTCTTTAGTCTACCAAGACGCAACCCTCTAAACGAGGATGGGGCTGATGTATTACTAAATCTCCCTCACTTATTTTCTGTAATTTAGAAGTAAGATTGCTTTCATCATAGAGAATACAATTGTGTTTAATGTGACCACAAAATAAAGAGCTTCTCTTCAGGGGTCAAATAAATTTGTGTCTGGAATCAAGTGACAGATTGAAAGACAATTGCAAAAAAACTATCAGCTCGCAAGATGCAGCTACGTTCAAAATTTCAACAGGAGAAACCTTTTATTATTCTGGCACCAAATATTATTAGCTAAAATAAATACTTTGAAATGTTTTTTTCAGCCACCATTTTAGTTTTGATTGGCCAAATGTTTAGTACACTTTGTATAGTTAATCAGATTCAAACGGTCTTTGTGATTGCTGTCTTGTATCTTCCTTGTGATGGTAAAATCTGGAAATTCTGAGCAAGGGGGTGTTTTTTTAATGCTTAAAATCTGTACAGCTTCTTTTAGCCTTGTTTGTTTTCAAATACTTGTCCAAGTGGAGTTTGGTTGTTGCCAATGATCTTACTTGCATTTAGGATTTCATTAAGATTATTTTTATTTTTAATGTTGAGATTGCCATACTAGGCAGTGATGTTGAAACATAAAATACTGCAGATGTGAGCTTGGTCAAACAGTGACAAGGTTTTTTCACTACATTTAAGGAGGACAACCAATGTCATCCAAGACAGAAGAAGCCATATATAAAGGAGGTCATATTTCTTATTTCTTAGTAGCTTTTTGTTGTTCTCTTTTTTGCGAGGATGTTTTCTGTATTTTCAGTGAAATGTAATTTACTGTCTAAGACAGTTCTAATGCTTTCACAAACTTAAATATCAAACACTATCAATACATCAAATGAAATAAAACAATACAGAAACATCAAGTCAATGAATTGTGTTTATTTTTAGTTTGAAGGCAATGTATCATAACCTTGGAAAGTTAAAGGTAATATAGAAATAATAAAACAGACACACCAAACTTTTATTTAGCTCAAGACTTGAAGATACATTTATTGAAATGGTTTTAAAAATAAAACAATTTAAAATATCTATTATACATTAGACACAAAAAAAAAGATATTAATTTTAAAGCCATACTGTAAATACACACACATAAAACTAGTTTTTTCAAAAAAGGCCTAACCTATATATGTTATATGATTTCTAATAACTTGAAGCTGAATACAATACATTCTAAAATATAAAACGAAATATTAAAATGTTTGTATATAAAAAAAATTTCTTTACCAATAGCATTATGTATATCAGAACCAAAGAGAAAAAAGAAATAGGCTATGTGATGATATATAGAACACATAGATATATAACGGGCAGCACCATTTGCAAGAATTTCGCATCACAGAGTAGGTGAGCATATTAATTGTTACATAATTTAGACAAGTTTAAAATGCGAAGTCAAATATTGGAGATTACAGGAAATACAGTCGAGAATTAAGTAAAATAGACAGTCTTCTTGGAACTAGATCTAGATCATCTACCAATTCAAAGTAGTCAAATAAAAAGGGCTTAAAGGCAGTTTATATCCAATAAAGAGTCTATGAAGGGAGAAGGTTCAGAGAAAAATTAACAATAAAAAATAAAACAAATTCATTATAAAAAGCTGAGTAAACATTGTTAATTTAAATTTGAATCTTAGATCAATAGGAACTAAATTTATTCTTTTGAACTTTTTTTGTTGGCATTAATTTCTTACTATATCTAAATGTAAGCATTGGACTTTCAAATCTAACCTTGTAACACTTCAATAGCAAAATATAAAGATAGAGATAAAGGTATAGTCTAGATCTACCTTACTTCCAAAAAATACAAATATAAAATAGGCATCATCCTTACTAGTTTGGCACATGAAGTTATTGATATAGATCTAGAAACCTCTGCAATGTTTTAATAAAGCTTTTTTTTTTTCTATTTTTGTAGCCTGAACTCTAAAAGATATTTGTAATGAACAAGGCACATGATGATAGAGAAGACTTTAAGGTCAAATATACAATATTTACAATGTACTTAAAGTACACACATTTGAATCACACTTGGCAAAAGCAAAAATAAATAAAAAATGAATAGTGAAGTCATATATATGTTTTGTATAGTAGCAATGATTAACAAGTATTTCATTATAAACATTATATTGTTGTTAGAAGGAATCCTAGTCCATCAATCCCCGGTCACTTAATGACTTGGTCAATTAATCCCCTTTCCTTTTAATCATCAGTTAAATCAGCGGTTCTCAACCTTTTAAGCTCGGCGACCCCTCTTTACAATCCCACACTCTGCCGCGACCCCCCCCCCCCCCCCAGCTCAGACACACAGCAATAGAAGAATAGACAAAACTATTCATTTTTTCTATGGTCTCTAGCGACCCCTGGCAAATCGTCAATCAACCCCCAAAGGGGTCGCGACCCACAGGTTGAGAACCCCTGAGTAAAATAGTATTTGAGAAGTGGCCAAGGATAAATATGGAGGGGATGAAACGACAACAGAATTAAGTGACTGGACACTAATGGAAAATATTTTTCCAACTGATTTTATAAGGCCATTGGTCACTCTAGGATTTGATTTGAAAGGTTGTTTTTTTTTACTGTTACACTAGGCTAGCTTGACATAATCTGTTGCTTGACAGAAAAATGAAATAGGCCAATGGAAAAATACTAATTTTCTTCATCACATGCAAAAAAAAAAAAGTTTCATATGAATAAATATTTAAGATTTCCATAATTCCTGTTCAAGAAATGGAGATTCATTGGAAATGGAATCAATTTTAATTATATAGTTAAACTTAATATATCAGTCATATCAAGCAAGGACCAGATATTAAAGCTAACAACACTAAAACAGGACATGTACTGCACAAAATAAGGACAAAGAGATACACATTCATTTCTTGTTTCTCAAAAAATTTTAAAAACAAACTTTAATATCTAGATCTATTATTTACTTAAGGAATATCAAGTGTAATTATAACAGCTTATAATTATAACAGTTCCAAGAAATAATTCACAAAGTGCTACACATTAAAATAAACAATAAGCAAACATACTTATAAGCACAAAAATTGACAAAATATAAATATTTATATATGTAATTTAAATGATTTTTAATATTTAAAAAAATATTCTTTGAAAAAAAACAACTAATGGCACTTTAAAAGATATTATTTTAAATAGTTAAATAATGGTTGATTTTCATTTGTTAAAGTTAGGGATGAAGAAGTCTTTTTTTTTTAGAATTTGCCTATTTTTATTAAATATTTGACTTTTTTAAATAGTATATTTAATTAAAATATATATTTATCCTTTATGATCAACTTAAATCACAAAAGAGGAGCTTGAAATAAGCGCCAACATTGTTAACTTTCAATCTAACAATAGGAAAACAAGTTGTTATTTAACTGTTTAATTATATTCTTTCTTAACTATTTTATGGTAGAAATTGGGATAAAAAAAAATATTTGCTGTATTAAAATATGAACTAGCCTTGATCCAAAATGAAAATTTCTCAGAGCATTTAATATTTGATAAATGCTGATATAAAAACAATCAAAAGTTAAGCTTAAAAAAATGTTTAGTGTTCTAAAACATATGCATGTAAACATGTAATAACTTTTGCGTAAACTGGATGGCTACAAAATGAGCTCTTTAATAGCATATTATGAAATAGCAACATCAAGACGGACACAATAGTTTAGAATATAGTGGGACAGCATCATAATACAATGTTATACTTCCCACAATTCCTTTATATATTTTTTTGTCTTCAATATTTTTGAAAAGAAGTCACTTGACAGTCATTGTGGTGAATCTGGAATTGTTGAATTTTTTGAGAAATATAGGTGAACAAAAAAATAATAAAACATTTACTAAAAGAACAAACATTTGCAACAGTTTTGGCTCTGACACTCTTTGGAAAGCACAATAATCTTTCAGCGAGGCTAACAAAAAAGTTTAGTCAATATACCTTCAATTTAATGTAGAGTAATTTTTTTTTAATATCGAACATTCAGTGCAACCTTTAGTACAGTGGTTTATTTCTAAATACAGCGGTGGGATGAGTCGCTGTTAAGGTTATACAACTCTAGATGTCTTTCTGAACTAAGTACAGAAGTCTTTTAAAGCTATAATGGACCTATAAGTGACTTTATCAGAAGCATTGTTTGACTAGGATTTCAAATAAAATCATACTAATATAATTTTAGATTAATATAATGCTGAAATTGTTAATTTTTGTATGTATGTATGTTTGTATGTAAAAAATCATTACTTTTGAAATATTAAATTATTACTGTAAACCTGGAAAACATCTATCAATAAAAAAGATAAAAGAGGTCTACTAAAACAAGAGCATTTATACATGCTCGAAGAATAAATTGTTTTTGGCAACAAAAAAAAATGCAAGAATAAATTAAAAAAATGAATACTCCAAAAAAGAAAAAAAAAGTTGATCATGCTGAAAATGAAATCTGAAGCACCAGGCACAGAATTATTAAAGTCTGAACTCTTTCAAAAAAAAAGTTCTTTTGGACCTTGCTGTAAAAGAATCAGTGGAATTAAGTTCACATGTTTTTAATCCAAAGTTAATGAGGATGTTGTGCAGCCAGCACACATTCCCGGCTGAGACTGGGTACACAGTTAAAGCTGCAAGAACTGTCCAGTGACTACAAAAGGATTCAAACCCATGACCTTTGGAATGGTGACCAGCTACTTCATTTTGTTAATGATACTTACTGAGAAGTCTTCATATACAAAAGTTTAAAAAAACGTTTATATAGGTAAATGATTAATTCGTTTGAATCACATAACATAATTTTTTAATTGTATGACATTCCTATCATTAGATATAAAGTATTTCAAAAATCTCCTTTAAAAAATCGAGAGGCAGATAGATAGATAGATAATATATTCGTCTAGTCATGTGGTAAGCTCTTCAGACTGTCATCTCAATATTCCCAGGTTCAAACCATGCCCAGCTTCATCCTCTACTATCCAGAAGAAAGTTTGGGCTAAGACATAATAATCTTCATCTCTGTAGAAACATACTAAGCCAATTTCTAAATAAAGAAAGAGAAAATTCAAAATAATTTATGAACTTTGATATGTATCAATAAATGAAGCTTCTCTAGCCACTGCTGCTTCAAACATCCATTAGTCTGATATGTGAACAAAAAAAAAGATTTAGATTAAAATCATGAAAAAATGTATAAGACATGTTAATGTTGATAATGACAAAGTGATTTGAAGGTAATTACATCTCTCTTACATAAAAACAACAAAGACAGCCATAAAACATTAATGAATTGTACAAAGTATATCTAAATTTTCTTGTCAAAATGAGCTGAAAAAAAAAAAAAGAAATTTGATGAAAAAATAACATTTAGGGAAGTGCAACCAGAGGTTCTGAATTAAGAAGAAAAGATAATTCTTTTTTTTTAACAAATATATTTAAACGCATAAATATTCAATGTGCTATCCAGGTTACCGTGTGTATAATTTCTTTATGTCAGCTGAGCAGCAGGTATAGATATGCTTTTCTACTTATAATCAGCGCTATAAACATATTACATGAACACAAAATTAAATTATCAATACATTGAGACAACTGTATCGCTGATTTTAAATTTAATGTGTGAATACTGGTGTCAATATAATTTGCTTATGTTTTTAATATCTTTCATTAAAGTTTCAAATGGATTAAAGACACAAGACTATTTGTTTTTCTAATTCTCTCCCTGCAATGTGAGCTCAAACCAGAAGGAAATGTCAATTTTAATACATTTTAATATTAGAAAAAAAAATGTACTGTGGCGTTATACTGATTAATTATAATTAATGGACGGGATGTATACAATATTTCATTCGGTATAAGAGTTTAATTATGCAGTATTTCTTACAATGGGAATGGAAAAAATGTATAAAGAATTAGGCATCAATAATGTTTAATTGAAAATTGGTTGGATCTAAGCATTTAATTCCATGTCAGAATTGGTTGGGTTATATTCATCTCTGTCCTCCCCATCGGAAGAATCCGTTACTTTAATATCCACATCCACGGAGCCATTGGTCTCTTTTCCTGTCAGCTCATCCTTTTCTTTGTCCTAGATTATAAATATAAACATTAGATACCATAGTTTAGTGTTGTTAATGTGTGTGTGTGCATGTGTGTTGGTTCAGTGTGTGTGCATGTGTGTTAGTTCGGTGTGTGTTATTGTGTGTTTGTGCATGTGTGTTTGGCAAAGAGGAAGATGGGAATAATACTACTGCTGTTGAAATAATTAGCCTACTATTTTTACACTATTGCTACATACAAAAAAAACTACAGTATAAATGTGTATATAGACACAATTTCATTGTGTAATAAGGCGTTATTGAATTGTTTAAATAAGCTAATTTCTTGGATTAAATTAAATGTCATTGTCTATATAATACATAGATAAGGGGTCTTTGTGAAATTATTTGGCCTTATTTAACAGGTCTAGACACAATACTATCATCATAAATAATTTAATAAAAAACTAAACTACTTAATGACATGAGTAAACCAATTGTAAACCAACGCCACCAGAACAAGAATCATAAGATGATCAACTACAGTAATAATGATCAACAACAGTATTAAATAAATGCAAGATTAAAAGGAATTAAGAATTGAAATGGTAGAATATAATCATGAAAATGAAAGTTGAATCATTAGCTCAGGGGATGAGTAATGAAAAGACTAGATCAATATTTTTCAGTAACTATAATTGTCACTAGGATCTTTATCTTTTTTAGCTTACGCAAGAAAGTGCATGCTCAACAATTACTTTTTCATTTTTATTTCTTCTCCTTTTCTTTATTGTTATTATTATATTTTATTTGCAAAAACAAATTGGACAAAGAACTAGGACTTATACATAACTTGTGAACTGAAATGTAAAAATATCCTTAGCTGGTATAAAAAAAACACAACTGATGAATAATATAAAGTGAAAAGAAAAATAAGATCAGTAAACAATAGCTGTAGATGTTTTTGCCAAGATCCTACTAAAACCTTTATAGGGAAGAAATATGAAAGAAAGGAGTGAAAGACAGGATAGTTATTTTAAAATGTATTGAGGGTAATTTGGCTGAAAAGGACAAAAACTTCAAAGGAAATGACCCTTTGAGGATAGAGAATAGGAATTTTATAGCTACAGTGTAGTGTTAAAAATAACTAATTTCTTAATTAGAAAAGAGTGCAACTATTTAAATCTATAAAAATATATTTAAGGGTAAACAATTAAAAAAAACAAATCAGTTGACCAACTCAGAACATTTAC